ACACACACATATATACATATACATGTATGTATATGTATATATTCACGGATGTAAAGTTCAGCATAGGGAATATAATCAATGGTATTGTAAGAGCTATGTACAATGTCAGAGGGGTAGTAGACTTGCTGGAGTTATCACTTTGTGAAGGGTATAAATGTCTAATCATTATGTTGTTTTGTACACCTGCAACTAATAGTTTAACTTAAAAAATAAATGAAATACTGGATATTTGAAATTACCTTGGCATAAACGCAGCTGTCTGACAGCCTCATAAATGGACAGTATTTATCACACACAGGACACATGATGATATCTGTAGCTTGGCAGACTTCTTTACTGGAAAAGAGAACCAAAAAGGACTGATTTTTGATGACAATATGAGAATTTCTTCCCCTCCAATTTCACCAGAATATTCAACCAGTAAATAAGGTCCAGTAAATGGCATTTTTGTCCTCCAAAGCTTCTTAGCCTTAATTGTTATTAATATGAACAAGTGCCTGCACAATTTAGTAATTTGATAAACTTATTTATGGGGCTGTTTATTGGATTTACATATTAATAAGTTAAACTCAGAAAAAATGCATGAAGCAAACACTGGTTGTTTTACCCCCAAATTATACAAAAATTATTCACAACATTGTGTAGGTTGGAAACAATTTCATACTGAATTATGGGAACAATGAGATACCTAAAAGTGCCTGCATCAATTTCTATAACATATGCACAATGAGTTAACACTAATACTGGAAGAATAAATAAAAATGCGAGGGATTAGTTCTGGGAGAAAACTACATCTCATTAACAGTTTCACCAGCAAGTAAAATATTTTGGTAGGAGGGAGGATCAATCGATCACTTTTATTTTTGCAATCGCTTCTAAAAGGCACATCTATTATTTAAGAGCATTGTCCAGCCTTGCAATTAGATATCTATGAATACCTAAAACTCTGTTCTGGTGAGAGAGCCAAGATAGCAACCATTAACACTGAATCATTCTCAAGACCCCAGCAAGTTGGAGAGGTATCTCTTTGGCTTAGGTTTAAAGGGTCCTTGTAAAAACACAGAATTCATACAAAATAATTGT